GGACACAACATCTTTGTTGGTATGTGGTGCTGCTGAGGATCGAACCCGGGCCGCACGCATGCTAGGCGAGCGCGCTACCGCTTGAGCCACATCCCCAGCCCCGATGGGAACGTTTTTTAAAATGTTTTTTCATGAGCAATGATTTCTTTCTCTAGGGAAAATATTTTGGAATACAATCAATGACTAGAAAACTTGGTAAATGTAAGCTTAACATTGTAAAAATCTGTCAAATTGTTTTCCAAAGCGGTTATACCATTTTCCCCACACCAACACTGTGTGAGAGTTCCTTTGTCCATTACCTAGAGAGCACCAGCCATTTTTAGAGGGATATAGTGGTATCTTATTGTTGTTTTAATTTACATTTCCTAATTATTTTAAGCATATCTTCTTTTTTCCCCCCTCTTTTATTCTTTCTCTCTTTTTTTCTAGTATTGGGGGTTAAACCCAGTGGTTCTCTACTACTGAACTGCATTCTCAGCCCTTTTTATTTTGTTTTGAGTCAGGGTCTCACTAAGTTACCCAGACTGGCCTCAAATTCATGATCTTCACAGCTTCTTGTGTTGGCAAGTCTAAATTTCTGAGACCAATAGACTTCAGACTCTGGAAGGAGTTGAAGTTTGAGTTCAAAGGTAGTCTCCTACTTACTGACTAGGAAGATCCTATATTGCAGATGAAATCTGAAAAGTAAGCCAACAGAATTCTTTCTTCCTCCAGGAATATCAGTTTTTTGTTCTGTTGAGGCTACCAGATGAAGGTTGAGGCCCACTCACATTGTGGAAGGCAGTCTGCTTTACTGAGTCCACTAATTTAATGTAAATCTCATCCAAAAACACTGTCATAGAAACATCTAGAAGAATGCTTGACTGAACATCTGGGCACTGTGGCTTAGCCAGTTGAGACATATAATCAACCATCATGACATCCATTTGCCTGAATTTTTGTTATCAACTTTTAGACATCATTGGTAATATACTGAAATTAAGAAGAAAATATCCTTGACACAATTCTACAAGTCATCTCCAGAGAAATCAATCACTAAAATAAAATACTTTAGTAGCTATCAATATTTAGAATTACATTGTGGACTTTTCCTTTTTTATCCTTAAACAAATCTGCCTTGATGAATTCCTGGATTCTTGGGTGGTAAGAAAAAAAAAAGGGAAGGAACATATATGTATGTATGTATGTAGACATGTATATATGCATAAAATATATATTTTGTGTATATTGCTGAAGCTGTGAGGTGTATTTATTGTGAGAAATTTTTGAGGTTAATTATTGCATGTTATGTCAGTTACATTCAATTCCTAGCACATATTAGAAAAAAAATAGAAGATTTTGGTTTTCTGATTTTTCTGCTTGGCCAGCATAGTTACCATGGTGATTCAGTGACTGCTGTGGGATTTGGTGCAAACTGAGCATCCATTTTTGATTCTTTCTTGAATCATTTCTTACTTTGATAATTGTGAAGCATTGGTTTTATAATTCTGTCATTCCTTCTGGATTTATTAATTGACTTTTGGCTATTAGAATTGCATTTTATTAATGACTCATAGATTGCTATTTTTATCAGAGTTAGCATTTATTATTATAGTTACATATTTTTTTTAAAGAGAGAGAATTTTTTAATATTTATTTTTTAGTTTTCAGTGGATACAACATCTCCATTTTATTTTTATGTAGTGCTGAGGATCGAACCCAGCGCCCCACGCCCGCCAGGCCAGCGCTCTGCCTCTTGAGCCACATCCCCAGCCCATAGTTACATATTTTGATGTTCAGGTTGTCCCAGTGTTTGCTAGTAGATATGCCTTCAATCTCAGTGTCTATTTGATGCCTCTCTGGAAGTCCTTGAGCATGTGCTTTGTTCTCTGAGCCTGACCATCTCCTTATCTGCAGAGAGGAATAAATGTCTGCCTACTTCATAGAATCACTTTAAAGATTTGAATAATGCAAGTCTGGAAATAACAAGTTACTCCATGTGGTATCTAGTAGGTCTTCAACAAGTGTTAGTTCTCTAGTTCAAATTTGCTTCGTTCTGTCATTGCAGTACCTCTAACTTTAACATAATATGTTTATTAGAGAGAATACTTAGAAATGTAATATCAAACAGAGATAAAATTATGAAACATTATGTTTTAAATACTTAATTGAGAAAGCTGGGATTACGGGCACATGCCACCATGCCCGGATGGATCTTTTTTGATGTAGGCATTGACTCCTATACATTTTCTTCTTAGAAATACTTCTGCATCCTATAAATTTTGGTATATTATATTTCCACTTTTCTTTGTCTTGATATATTTAAATTTTTTTCTTTTAATTTCTTCTTTGACTCATTGGTATTTGAGCATGTTTAATTTTCATCTATTTGTGAATTTTCTGAAATTTCTCCTGTTATTAATTTCTACTTTTATAACAGTGTGGTCAGGAAGGATACTTGATATAATTCAATCTTTATAATTTTGGGGGACTTGTCTTGAAGCCTAACATGTGATCCCTCCTGGAGAATGTTCTATATGTGCTTGAGAAGAGTGTTTATTCTGCTGCTATTAGATGGATTCCTCTTCACACTGGGTTTGGCTTGTGATTTGTGTCTGATGACTAGTGTCGGTGGAGCTTCCACGAAGCTGAAGCCTAAAGTACAAGCATACACAGAGGGGCTATATCTCTGAGATCCAGGGTGGTAATGGTCCTGACACCTGTTGCACAAGCACCCCCACTGCTGCACTGGTGGAAGTACAGAATGTGCAGATATTTGTGAAATAATCAGGGAGCAAAGAATGGAAGCACAGTGTGAACAAAGTGAGTGGCTCTATTATCAGGGCAGGGCCTTGCCCTCTGTGGTGGCTGAGCTCATACCTGGAACATGGTAATGCATTGCAAAGGCTTGACTATGGGGCCAAGATTATGGACTTAATCACTGTGGCAATGGCTCTGGTATCTGAGTTATGGGTGGGTACAATGTAGCCACAGAGCCTGGGTCTAGATTATTAGTAGTCATCGAATGACTATGGCCTTGGGTTTGGGACTGCTTGGGGTTGAGAAAGGTAATGGTTCTTTTCTCAATATAGCTCAACAGTGGATGCTTCTTGTGTGGCAAGGAGGGGCATGTATCTGTGTCTTATCTCAGGATTTCTCTTAAAAAGAATGATTGATACCTTAGTGGTGAGCAAGATTCTGGAGTTCTCAGTGGAGCTGGCCTCTGACAGTGATAACCTCTGACTTTCTTCTTTGCTCTTAGCTATCTTCAGGCATCTGAGGTATGCTAGTCTCGCCAGAGACCCTTTTTGATGTGAATATTCTTTTTTTTTCCTTTTTTTGCTCCACTTTGTTACTGACTGCAGATTCTTTAATGGACTTCTGAGCCCTCTCTGGGATGTTTTGGTTTGTGAATGGCTGTCTATATACTTTCATTGGGAGATGAAGGATGGTATCTCTTAATCTGCTATCTTGGTAGGCTTTTTATTCTTTAGACCTTTTTTATTGTTTCTCCTTAAATGAAATATTGTTTTGTTTCATGGTTTTGTCTGTAGATCCCCTACTGCCTCATAGAAAACCAGAGAGGAGGTAACATGAGGAGAACAAATGGACATTTTCATCTCAACAGTGGCAGAGTAAAGTGAGAATATGTTGTGAAACAACTTTCGTCTGATGACCTTCACTAAAATCCTGGGAAGTGGAGACGTGCTCTTGCCCTTTCCCTGTACATCTATAATTTCCCAACTGTACCCAACTGTGGCTGTCAGTGTAGGTAGATTTATATGTTAGTTCTGTGATGACCCTATTAGCTAATTCCCTTGATTTAGGGATGTTCTCCATTTGGAAACAGCCATTTTCCTAGGGGAAGAACTGGAGGTGTTTATTTTTTTCTCACTTCCAAAACCAAGACATTTTTGTTATGGATAAAAATGGAATTACATGAAAGGAAAAAACATCATTTAAAAAAACCTTAAAATTCAATTACTCATGAATAAACATGGCTAAATTTTGAATATATGTATATTCAAAAGAGTTTGTCTCTCAAATGAACTTTTTGAATATATGTATTCAAACTTTTTTCACAAGTTTTTCTGTGCAAATGTAACTATATTTAAGAACAGGAATTTGATAACATACTACTTATACCCTTGTTAACTGCTTTTTTTGTGACAGACATCGAAGGGCAATCCATGTCCATCACTCTGAATACACATGACAATAAAAAAGGCCACTGAGACATTAGTAGTCAAATTAGATATAAAAACAGTGATTAAAATGGTTAATATTCATTGTTGACTTCCTATAGTTCCAGATACTATTATCAGTGTTAAGCCTGTCATTGTTCATTTAACCTTCACTACAACTGAGGAGGAGGGCCTATTGATGTTCCACTTTAACATAATGGAACTGAGGCACAGTTAGGGCAGGGATGTTGAGTGGAGAGGCTTAGATTTGAAAGTAGGCCATGTAGCATCCAAGCAAAGATACCTAACCAGTATGTGCTACTGCCTCTCATCAGATAAGACCAGATTTATTGTTAATTGGGCACATCAAAATGAATGAAGCGGAGGTAACTTGTTTTTTCTCAGTTGACTAGGCAGAGATTTAAAATATATATAAAAAAATCTTTGTGGTTTGGAATTTGGGGAAATGTGTCCTGTTATACTGCAAACAGTGCTGCTTGGCTCCTGTCTCCCTTCCTATGTTTTAGGGATGTTCCCCTTTTGCACCAAGTGACTTTCCTATAGGTGGGACAGCAAATGCTTATTTCCTAATTATTTTATTATTTTGTATATTTACAAGAGAAATAGATATGTATTATAGGTAAAAGTAGAAAATATAGGAAGTAATATAAAATAACATTCGCCAAACATAAAACCCAAGGTAAATCCTGCTAATGCTTTCATCTAATTATATTATTTCATAAGTTTTCTTATGCATGTGTTTATTTATACATGTATGGCTGACTTTTGGTATTTGTTTACATAATATAGGAACTTATTTTAGTTTTTTAACCTGCTTGTATTATTGTAGTGGGTTGAATGAATTACATCTCCCAACAAGATTTGTCCCAGACTTAGCTCCTAGTACCTGTGAAAGCAGCCCTATTGGGGAATAGGGTTTGTGCACATGTAATTTAGACTCTTGAGATGAGATCATCCTGAATTTAGGGTGAGCTCTAAATCCAATGACCTTTTTTTAAAAAAAATATTTTTAATTGTAGTTGGACATAATAACTTTATTTTATTTATTTATTTTTATGTGGTACTGAAGATCAAACCCAGTGCTTCACACATGGTAGACAAGCACTCTACCACTGAGCCACAACCCCAGCCCCTGACCTCTGTTTTTGTAAAAGAAATGACAGAGAACTTTGACACCTTCCCAGGCAGGAGGTCATGTGATTGAGACAGACATTAGAGTTCTGCTGCCACAAACCTAGGGAAATGGAAGCCACCACAAGCTGGAAGAGGTAAAGAAGGATCTTCCTCTTTAAGTCTTCAGAGAGGGTGAGACCCTGTCAACACACTGATTTTAAACTTCCAGTTTTCAGAACTGTACAAGAATAAATTTCTCTTTTTTTGTCATGAAGTTTATGGTAATTTGTTATGGCAGCCCTAGGAGATGAATATGCTCAGTAACAATTTATCTCCATGTTTTTGGTACTGGGAGTTGAACCCAGGAGTTCTTAACAATGGAACCACATCCCTAACCCTTTTTATTTTTTTATTTCAAAACAGGGTCTCACTAAGTTGCTTAGGGCCTTGCTAAATTGCCGAGATCGGTTTTGAACTTTTGATCCTCCTGCCTCAGCTCTTGAGTAGCTAGGATTACAGACATGTGCCACCATGCCCTGCAGTAACAACGTGTTACAAATGTCATTATGAATAAACACCAATCTGTACCCTATTTTATCATGACTGTAAAGAAAGTAAGATCAATAATGATTTGTAAAAACAAATTTTAAAATTGCCTAAAATTTCTTATGTATCATATCCTCTTTATGTATTGAGGCATTCAGTGCTTAGAGCACACTTACAAGATGGGTACTATTGTTAATCCTCGTTATATAGATGACAAACTGAAGGATAGAGACAATAAGGACTTGCCCAAGACTGCACAGTTGGGAAGTGAGACAGTTTGCATTTGTACTCAGTAGTCATGCTCAAGAGCCTGGTAAGTTATCAAAAGTTTATTGTTAAGAGGGCTGAGGTTGTGGCTCAGTGGTAGAGCACTTGCCTAGCATGTATGAGGCACTGGGTTTAATTCTCAGCACCCCATATAAATAAATGAACAAAATAAAGGTTCATCAACATCTAAAAAATATTAGAAAAATTCATTGTTAAGAGAGAGAAGCAGTTGATTCAAACGTGTATTTTAGGACATCATTAAAAATAATAGTCACTGTGTTAATATATTTATACGAACAATTGTATCTAGTGACAAGAAGGTGGTTTGTGACCTTGGAAAAATGTTCATTGCAGTTATGGGAATGGAAGCCAAATACAATGGGATAAGGAATGAATGGAAAATGAAATTTATAAACAGGGAATGTAGAAATCCTTTTTGGACCTTTGATTTGAAGGAGTGGGGAGAGAAAGGAAGTTAGATATTGAACCTGTCACTGAATGGGTAATGAGATGCCCAGGAGGGATTATTGGATAGCTTTAATTTTTTGAAACTTACTTGACCAAGTTTATAAGTTAACGTTGAAGAATTACCTCATCTCAGATTTAAACCATCTCAGATTTTGACCTTAAAGTCGCCCATATATTTATTTCTCTTCTCACACTTTCATTTCCACTAAGGAGTTAATGAGATACCTCTAATGGAATAGTATAGGTTATGAGTACAATACATATTTAGTTATTAGCAAATGAAAGAATGGACAAATGTGTGAGAGAATTGCTAGTGAGTCTTGGATTTCTGTCTCTCCAGAAATGGCTGAAATCTTGGTGTCATGTGGTTGGATAATGCATCATCTGAGGACCTTGCACTGATGAGTTGCAGGATGGGTCTAGAAGTTTCCTATAAATACACGAACTGAGCAGTTCAGTAACAACCATTAGGCAAACACCATACCTTTCTTCCCACTGTGATCTGTCACTGAGCTCACCATATTAGGTCACAGATACTTCTATTTTCCTAGTGTGATGAACTAGATTTGGGTTTGCTCAGAGTTGTGTTGTGAAACAGCTCTTATCACATTATGAAATACCCAAGAAGGTAGATAAGCTCTGTCTCTAAAACTTTGAACTCAAGGCATATCAGAGCGAGATTTGCATTCTTATCTAGCTGCCGGTGTTCTCAGTAGGGGAAAGATGAGGAATGGTTTCACAATACCTACCTTAGTCCTACCTTAGGCTCAGCCAGATCCTGTTTTGTGTCTCAACTTTAAAGTCCTGTTCTATGTCATATTCTCTGGGAAGGTTTTCCTCAGGTCAACTATAAAAACATACATTGTATATTTTTACAGTATTTACAGTAAGGATGGAATGGTCAGGCCCATTTCACAGATTACCAAGCCAAGCTTAGGCTCACAAAGCCTAAATCACTTCTTTAGGTAAAATGTAAGGACTGGTAGGAGGTTCTCTTTCTCACCCTCCCTAGAGGACTCTGAGCATCAAAGCTGAATTTTTCTCTCAGATCAGATGGGAGGCTGGAGCCAATCTCAGTTTTACATATCCTAGATAATGATGGATGCAGGATGATTCCTTCTGTTAGTTAAATAATTCCAGAAAACACTGGAATTAGGACCAAGCTCCCAACATGCATCACTTCCTTCCCCTTTTTGAGTCACTCAAAGTTACAATCTCCCTCATGCTATCAGATAATACCCATCTTTCTTTTCCTTCTCTTTTTCGAAATACTGATAATTGAACCCAGGGCCTAGCACATTCTTGGCAAGCTCAAACAAAAGCAAAAGGACTGAGCTACATTCCCAGTCCTTTTATTTTGAGATAGGATATTGCTAAGGGCAAGTTGCTTAGGTCCTCACTAAGTTGCTGAGGCTGACTTTGAAGTTTCCATCTTCCTGCCTCAGCCTTTTGAGTTCTAGAATTACAGGCATGTGCCACCACTTCCAGTCTTATGATAAACTCATATTTGTTACCCTGCAACATATACCTTTTCATGAAAAAAATGATTCTAGTTCTGTTTGGAAAATTCACATGTATATCAAAACAGTTCCATTTGCTGTTGACCCCCAATGTACATGGCATTAACTGATTTATCTCTTTCCCCTTGGTGTAGATTGAAGTGTCAACACTATAGAGGGTCCCCCAGTGACCAGGATCCTCACCATCCATTACCCCACCCCTGAACATGCTTCCCAGACCTTCTGACACCCACTCTCAGTCATCCCCTTTTGGTCACTTCTTGTTAGGTCTGTGCTGCCCTATGCTCACTGGTGAATGCCAAGGCATGCTAGAGCTATTTGGAATTTCATTGTATGTTTTTACAGTATTCTTTTACACTTATCAGTTTTGGGAAAGAAAAAGAATCATTCTATACAAGCTGGTTTCAATGGCGGTATCATTTTTTCTGCTCGTTGTGTAAACTGCTTTGTGGAGATATTTGATAATGGTGGTACGCTATTGCCACCTCGTGACAGAATTCTAAACTGCAGCTTTAAATTGCTATTCAGGAAAGTAGGAGGGTGTGGCTTGCCCAAACCCACTCTGCAAAGCTTTATGGAAAACTGGGTGAAAAAGGGGGCACTTCCAGTGTATGGGTATACTGATGATTCCAGACAAAAAGTGAAGACTCTCATTATTATGAAGAGAAATTCTATGTGAGAGAAACAAGTGATATCTTATTTTTATGGCTAAAATTCTCTGGATAAATAGAGACATATATGAGAAAATATAAATTCAGGTCACTGTGATCTTTGTAACCTGCCTTTACCTTCATTATGACAATATTTATATGTAAATACATTTCTGTGAAAATATTTTAAATTGCAATTTAGTTTTTGATTTTACATCAAATGATCGATTCATCATATAGATGCTGCCAAGTATTTTACTTGTATTGTTGCATAAAAATTTACTTCCTTTACCATTTGTATTAGAGACTATAGTTTAATATCCTCAGACACAATATCTTTATTTTGACACAATATCTTTATTTTTATGTGGTGCTGGGCATCGAACCCGGTGCCTCACAAATGCTGGGCTAGCACTCTACCACCGAGCCACAACCCCAGCCCTGATGTATATTCTTTTAAAATATTTTTAGTTGTAGATGAACACAATACTTTATTTTATTTATTTATTTTTATGTGGTGCTGAGGATCGAATCCAGTACCTCATAAGTACTAGGCAAGCGCTCTACCACTTACAGTCCCAGCCCACTAATGTATATTCTTAACAATGTGGTATGAAAGTATCTGTTTCTTTACACATTGGAAATAATATGAATTATTGCTAATCTGATAGGTAACATACCACCTCTCACTATTGTTTTCATTATAACTTATTTTTTATTGCCCTCTAGAATTCTATCTTATGGATGTGATATTCACTTTTCATAATACTGTGTTAATTGGGGTGTTCTGATATTCCTCATTATCAACCCTGTGGGATGGCATTACACCACTTGAAGGGCACAGTGTGAGGCAGAGTTCACATGGCTGTTTGCAAGATGAGATGAATATGCTCTGTTTGAGCCCAGCAAACTGTCGTGGGAGAATTCTAGTCATACCAGAACCTGGTTTGTATGTGTCTGCATGCTGACAATCATGCTTCCCTCTGCTTTCTTCTGCCTCTTTGTGGCTTTGCCTCCTATTTAGCCTATCTTTCTAAATTCAGGCCCAGAAGTAGAGGAAGGGAGTTCTCAGGATGGCAGTGTTTGTTATTTTTTTCTTGTTTTTGTTTTTTTTTTTAGGTGTAGATGGACACAATACCTTTATTTATTTATATGTGATGCTGAGGATCAAACCCAGTGCCTCACACGTGTTAGGTAAGCATTCAACCACTGTGCTGTAACTGCAGCCCTTCCTTCTGCCGCCTTTTTTTTTTTTTTTGTAGCAGGGATTGAACTCAGGCCACTCAACCACTGTGGCACATCCCCAGCCCTTTTTGTATTTAATTTAGAAACAGGGTCTCACTGAGTTCTCAGGGCCTTGCGAAATTGCTGAGGCTGGCTTTGAACTCATGACCCTTCTGTCTCACCCTCCAGAGCTGCTGGGATTACAGGCGTGTGCCACTGCACCTGGCTTCCATTTATTAATATATAGTTTTGGGTTGTAGATAGACACAAGACACTTATTTTATTTATTTATTTTTATGCATTGCTGAGTATCAAATTCAGTGCCTCACATGTGCTAGGCAAACTCTCTACCACTGAACTGCAACCCCAGCTCCAGGATGGCAGCGTTTATAACCAGATTCTTATTCATGGCCCTTACTAGGTCCTGAAGATAGACTTCTAAAAGGGAAATTGTTGGTGCAAAGGGTGTGCACCTATGTGGCCCTTTGATTAGTACTGCTATCCTGACATTCATGAAGGAAGTTCTAATTTAGTCTCCCTAAAATGGAAGCATATGGAAAATAAAAGTATGGAGAGGCATGAGGAAAGTAATAATGCTGACTTCCTGTCATAGAGGGCGGGCCTTAGACTCTATTTTGGACCGATTCTTAAGTTATCATCATAGTTGGAAGATATGAAAGAGATCAGAGATAAATCAGGTTTTCACTACAAGGGCAACCTCAGGAAATTTTTTATTATTCTTGGGGTATAACAGAAGACCAGGGGATTGGGGTGTAGATCAGTGGTAGGGTGAATGCTTGGCACATGTGAAGCCAAGAGCTTAATCCCCATACCAAAAACAAAACAAAACGAAACAAAACAAAACCCTAGGCCAAAAATCACCTTTTAAAAGCTTTCTCGCAAATATAAAGACAATTAAAATCACACATTTTAAAGTTGGTAATTTTTAGTAAATAGATTGAGTTGTGTAACTATATCCATAATGGACTTTTGGATGTTTCTTTACCTGAGAAATTCCCATTGTGTTTCAGTGCAGTTAAATCTGCACCCACTCCCAGCCACATGAACTACAGTTATGCTTTTTGTCTTTATGGATTTTCCTGTTCTTAGCATTTCATGTAAATGGAATTATGATATTTGATCTTTTGCATCTGGCTTCGTTTACTTCAGATAATATTTTCAAGGTTCATCCATATTCTAGCATGTAGAATTCATTTCTTTTTATGGCTGAATAACATTCTCTTTTAAGGATGTACTGTGTTTTGTTTATCCATTAATCTTTGCATAATTTCCACTTTTTATTAATTGTGATTGATGATGCTGTGTACACTTATTAAAGTTTTGATGAAGACATGTTTTTATTTCTCTTGAGTATATACTTAGGAGTGGAATTGCTGGGCATATGGTGATTCCATGTTTATCTATTTGAGGAACTGCTAGAATACTTTCATGGCCCTGACAATCATGAGGCTTAGTCAGTTTTTCTCCATGTTAGATCATTCTATGAGTTTTGAGAAACAATACCACAGAGTTGGAGCACCCTTCTTACTACATCATATCTGGTACTACGTGATGCTCACATGACATAGTTTTCACTTGGTTAAGGCATTGTTTTCTTAAGTTTCTTCTAGCGTACAGTAACAATTTTCCATTTGCCTAGAGAGCATGTAGAGACAAGAAAGAAAATCCTGACATGTTTCTCTTTTCACTGTGAATCCATGTCATTTCTATGTGGTGGAATGAGTGCCCTAATAGGGAAGGGGGTAGGGAAGAAGGGAATTGATTATATCATAACCATTCATCTGAAGTCACTGTCTACCCCATTTCTTTATGTTTCCCAAATTTTCCTGTCTCCTCCTTTTATCCCCCTGTTTTACATGAGAAAAGCATATTTCCTTGAGCTCCTGAAGGGAGAGAGCAAATCTTCTTGCTGTGTATTCTGGAAATGATGCTGGAGCAAGACAGACAGATCTCCCTGGGCAAGCATTATATCCAAACCAGAAACTCTGGAACATTCTTGACTTGGGGGTAAGTCTCGTCACTCTCTTATCCTCACCTGGGAACACATGTATCTATTGTTTGTGAGCGTCTTTGCTTTGTGGTAGAGTGGTGACAAAGAAAATAGACAGGTGGGGACTAAGTGCTTGGTGAATGAATCAATACCCAGGGCATAGGCTCCAGTTCCTCTGTTTTGGATCCTATTCTCATGTTGAGCATGTTGAGCATTTATCATCTTTCTGTCCCTTCCCAAAAAGAAGAAAATCAGCATCCTGTTTCCTCTTGTTGTAGATACTATCATGTTCCCAATTTTTCAGTACACTTAAACTCATAGACCAGCCAACCCACTTGACACTATAGTTAGGCCTCATGGCACAAAGATTTCATCACTGCCACCATCTTTAACATGGGGGATTGTCGAGTGAGTACTTACATATAGGGCATAGTACTGGGAAAGTTGAAAATGACCATTTTCCAAATGGGAAGCTGCTTGTTCTTTTTCGGGGAGAGCAAGAAATGGAACCTCATTTTTATCCTGCCACGTATCTGGAGAGAGTCTTAGACTTTGTGAGGCTGAGCTTGGTCACATGCGAAATGGCACTCACCATTCCTTCACACTGACATCTGATGGTAAATAAGAAATGCTGAAAAGTACCCATGGGATACAGTGTGAGTCCTGTTTCCACTGCCTCCTCCCTCCCAGGGGGAGATGTCATTGGCCAAAGCTCAAAAGTGTAAATGCATAGAGAGCCTGTGCAAAGGGAGCAGCAAGCATTGAAATAGACCCCAGAATGTGTAAGCTTTGGGCCAGTGTGAAGCTGTAGTTTGTGTTACCTGATGGTTGGGACAGAGGAATAAATTATGACACCATTTCCTATTATTACATATGCTTGCTGTCCCCTTACTTTGCCATACTGTTTGATACCAGAGGAACAGTTTCCCATTGATTCTGAGGTAGAGCAGACAACATGGATGCTGGACCAAAGATGAGAGTCAAGACACTGGACTGGACACCTCCCTGACTGCAGATTCTTGGGCGAGTCACTTCCCCTGTGCTGGCCTCACCCTAGCACAGTGATGCCCTATAATAGTGGCCTGAGCTCTGGGTCAAAAACCAGTTTCAGTCTGGACACCACTGATGAAGTTGGAGTGATTTTTTAAAAAAATTTGTCTTGAATCTCCATGTGGTAGGCAGAATTCTAAGATGATATTCAATGACCTTCACCCTTGTATAATCTCCTCCTCTTTGAGCATGATTTGAATCTGTGAATATGATATGTGGGGCTGGGGATGTGGCTCAAGCGGTAGCGCGCTCGCCTGGCATGCGTGTGGCCCGGGTTCGAACCTCAGCACCACATACAAACAAAGATGTTGTGTCTGCCAAAAACTAAAAATAAATATTAAAAAATTCTCTCTCTCTCAAAAAAAAATATGATATGTGTTCCATGATTATGTTCTGTTATGTAGCAAAAGAGAGACTATTTGGGTAGGCCTGACCTACTCAGTTAAGCTCTTTTTTTTTTTTTTGGTACCGGGTATTGAACTCAGGGGCACTTGGCCACTGAGCCACATCCCCAGTCCTATTTTGTATTTTATTTAGAGACAGGGTCTCACTTAGCGCCTCGCTTTTGCTGAGGTGGGCTTTGAACTTGCAATCCTCCTGTCAGCCTCCTGAGCCACTGGGATTATAGGCATGTGCCACCACACTTGGCCTCAGTCAAGTTCTTTAAAAGTAATTTTTCTGGCTGTTCTAAGTAGGGGAAGTCAGAGATTCACAACCCAGGAAGCATTCAATGTACCATCACTGGCTGGAAGATGAAGGTGGCTATACAGCAGAAAATTGGACTAGTCCCTAGGAGCAAGGAACCTTCATAGATGACAGCCATAAGGAAAATGAGGACTTCAGTCCAATAGTCACAAGTAGATTATTTCTGTAGCAACAAGCATGATTGATATTGGAATTAGATTACTCCCCAGAGGCTTCAGTTGAGACCTCAGTGGGACCTACACCAATACCTGGATTTTTCCCTAAGCACATAATAAGGTCATGCTGTGCCAGACCTCTGACCTATAGGTCTGTGATCTATTGAATGGGTGTAGATGTTAGTCCCTACACATGTGGGTACACAACTGCAGAAAATTCATCCATTCCAGTTAAACTGGATTCATACTCATTGCATATAGAGTGTATATGTGTGCAGATGATACTTGGAGAGAATATAACACATGATAACTTTTACTAGTGCACGGTGAAGCTGATGGTTATGGATATATTCATAGTGGTATCTGAATTCATTTTCCACATTTCCCAAGAGGATGATGGGCTACCTGTTAATCAGAGATAAATACAACCCAATAGAGTTTTCTTAATGTAAACATATTAGAATTCAGACATTTGAAAAGGTATAATAAATACCATAATAACCAGATATGTCCAAAACCAAGACTATAAAATTAAACATCATAGTAAATACACCTGGATGACTTTTCTGATGCCTCACCCCCAAAAGGACCCATTATCCAAAATCTGTTTTTGACATTCTCCTGCTTTGCTTCACGTTTTACCCCTGTGACTATATCCCTAAACAAAACCCATGGTTGCTTTACTTATTTTAAGCCCTTACATAAGTAGTATATTTATATTTATATACTACTTATTGATTTTTTCTTCACTGAACATAGTGTTTTTGAGATCTCTCTAATAATGCAGCTTTGGGGTTTTGATATTTTAGCTATGCTTGGTGACCTGCTTGCATATTTGTCTGAGGCACCGAGTATTCCAGTATTCCAACCACTAACAGGGCCTCACTTGGTGATTTACCCTTAAATGTTGACAAGTGTCTGCAAAGAAATTATATCAACTTGTCCTTTCCCAGGTGTATATGTAGTTCTCATGACTCCAGAATTTAGATTTAAACAGGACACAGTCTGAATACAAATTTAGTGGCCATATTTGTTTTTATTTGTTGTTGTTTTTTATTTTTGGCTTTTTTGTTTTTTGTTTGTTTGTTTTGCCAAATACTACAATTATTCCAGGATATATTCTGAGGCATAAAGAGGGAATACTATCTTTGTTGTTAGAAATGCACATAAGTGAAGATTTGGGCCTGCTGTTTCTTCTTTTAGGCGCAGGGACTCTGTTCTAGTGCCTAAGTCTCTGATCCACTTTGAGTTGAATTGGGAAACACATTATTGCACAGATCTACAGAAACAGGTGTTTTCATCATGTAGTTTTTGGGATATACATTAGTGAAGAGATACTAAATTTTAACTAGATAGCAAATACTAAAAAGGCAAAGTGATCATTGTCTTTGACAAAATGTGATCATTGTCAGGACTTTTCTTCCTGATATGGACTGAGGAGCCCTCTTATTCATCACATTGCTTAGGGCTGAGCTGAGCGTTTTGCTAGCTAACTTGTTGCCTTGAGGTCCCCTGAACCTACTCCATCTACCCAAGCAGGAAAATTTGCCTCATGGCTGAGATAGACCATCCACAACCACCACTAGTGTTGATATGGGGCAGTACTTAGGTCCCTCCTTCTGGAAGGTCCTGTAGATCTCCTCCCTCATCCATGTGTGGGAGAAATCTCCTTTCTTCTCCCTTCTCTGTATCCTTAGAGGCTGCTCTCCCCTCTCTGCCATGTACAAGCAGCCCAATTCTTTCCATGAGCTTAAGTTTTCATAAAAGAAGAAATCCTGACTTCAGACAGCTTCTGTTTCCATCTTGCCATAAACCTCCCCTAGAGCAAAAGGAAGGGGCACCAAGTCTGTCACTCTGTGGAAATGCAGCAAGTGTGATGATTTTAAAAATTTACTCTGTTTGGTTTATAGATTAAATTTGGGAAATCAACTATTTTGGGTGCCCCTTAAAAATACAAGCCTTTTGAAATAAAAACTTAGGAATAGGTGACAGTGTTTGTCTATATTATATTGACCATGGATTCTAGTTTTACCTTCCTAAAATAACTCAGATTCCCTGAATAAAATTTGTTTGGTAATCCTAGGTCATAGATTTGACCAATTAAGGATAGTCTCTTACTTTTCTACCAGATGGCTAACTGCTTAGAATGGTGTATTTTACATGGCTCAGCCATCTCCAAGACTCCTTGGAGCTATTGCTGGGTTTCTGTGTGCTGGGACTAGTCCCCTAGTGCCACTTTCAAAGCAAACACAATTCCTGATAACAGGGGCATGTGTTTTTCCATAAAACTGGGCAGAGTTCCCCAAAATGCCTGAGCCCCAGACTAGTCCCTCTAATTATTATATTTTCTCAGGTAGTGTCCTGAAGAGTGGAGACATTTTTTTCCTTAGTGTGAAAAGCAAGAAGACAAAGAGCCAAGAAGAAGCATTTCCAGTTTGATGGAACAGTCCGTGCTGGCGGTTGCTATAGTAACCTGACGTCATCATTGTGATCATGACAATTTTTCACTAGAGACTTCCATGGCCTGGCAGTAAAAGCAGGGCCTGTCTTCAGGTATTTGGACTCATAGAGGGTATGAACAGAGTTCTTCCCATTGCCTGAATCTGAACCTTGTTCCTCTAATTAGTGCACTTTTTCAGGTGGCCTGAAGGGTGAAGGTGTTTTTGATTTCAGAGAAAGACAAGGGGACTGAGAGGAGGCCTGTACAGAGGCATTTCTAGTGCTGAGGACAAATCTGTGTATTGTGGTTGCCATAGAAACCAGATGTCATTATGGCCACTATGGTGACTGTGATGACATTTTAAAGGAGACCCACTTGCTATGGTTGGAGAGCAATGTCCCACCTCCAGGTGTTTGGACTCAGCAGAGGGTGTGGGTGCCCCACAGTGGGGACTGAGGCATGGAGAGACAAAGGCATCTGAGACCCAAATCACCTTGTTCCCACACTGGGTCTTGGTGCCCTGCTGACTTAAGAGGGAGAGAAATATGGAACCCTCCTGGCTCCAGGCAGTGTGATGTACTGTGTGGATATTATAGGATCATAGATGCCTGTATAAATTAGACCACTTCTTATTCCTTTTCAAATTTGTTTTTAGCAGATGAGAGAT